AAAGATAGGATACTCAATAGCCATGGCACAGCCTTACATCCCAAATCCTCATAGATGCCATAAATGTCAAAAATTTGGACATCTACAAAATAGTTGTTCTAGAACATCAGTCTGTAGAAAGTCTGGGTAATCCGAGACTGATTATGAGGCATCTTGTGTAAGGCCTCCTTCATGTCCAAGCTGTTATGGAAAGTATACAGCAGACTCCAAGGAGTGTATCATTTGGAAAAAAGAAGTAATTAGAAGGAAATACATATAAAACATCTCTTTTCAAGAAGCCAGGAAACAGGTAGAATTGAATTCACTCCAAGTGTCTTATGCTAATATTACAAAAATATCCAATCAACAAATAGACATCCTAGAAAACAATACATTAAGAAACCAAGATCTGTTAACTCTTATCAATGAACTAAAGAGTTTAATTGAACTTCTAAAAGATTGTTTATCAGACACAAAGCAAACTACCATAGACAAAACAAACCCTATACTGTCAGTTGCAAACAAAAATGACTACATCTACAAAACTATTAAACCTGAAAAATCCAAATGAAAAAAAGAAAATCCAAGAAATAGAAATATCGAATCATTCTCAAGAGAATGAAAAGATACAAAAAAAATAACAAAACGGTTATTGAAGAATCAAGGGAAATGGACATAGGGGAACAAATCTCTAGTCCATCACAAACAAGGGAAAGATCATCATCTATACGAAGTTCATTAAAAGAACCGAATGGTAAAATTAAGGGAGCAAAATCAAAGTTGAAACAAAAGAAGTTTAAAGAACAAAACTTAACAAGAAACAAAACGCTAATAGTCTGGAGAATATAGAAATGATGGACACTTCACCCATAAAAAAAAATTTGGACATGTAAAAATTCATAATACGTAATCAAGATGTAAAACTTTATTCAATGGAATTGTAGAGGATTAAATGCTAACATAAACGATCTTCTCCTACTTATAACAAAGCATCAGCCCATGGTCATTTGTCTACAAGAAACTTTCTTAAGACCAAATGATAAAATAAAAATAAAAAATTACTGTCAATATAATTACATAAATGTCACTCAACAGAGGGCATCTGGAGGTGTATCAATTCTAATAAGAAATGACATTCCTCAAAGCAAAATACCACTAGAAACCTAAAGGATCTATTTGAAAATACTAATCCAAGTAACATCATAAATTTCATTAAAGAAATTGGGATCTACAGAAAAATCTTAAAAGAAAAAAGTTCACTAAATTTGTTTACTTACCTGGAATAGTAAACTAATTTGGAAGGAAAAAGTAACTCCAGCTACAAATTTTGGGAGAAAGTGATTATCAACAATACATTTAGTGCTTGACAAAACCCCACTTTATAAGACGTCAACGAAAACTGATCTACAAAGTGATTTCTGGTAAGGAAGACATACTCTCTTCATATGAACCTATCAGGAAAAACTGGTAGGCATTAAATAACCTTTCAAGGTTATGTCTTTAAACCAAATCAAACCAAACAACTCACAACAGATTACATCATCATTCAACCTACTACTCTCCTACTTTTATCATCACAATCACTTTTCATGTAGCTCACTGTATTATATTTCCAAATATGATTTTTAATATAATGATATAGCTTGGGTTGCTATAAATGGGGATGTTCTTCCTGTTGATGGATCCAATTTGGAGATCAAGACAAAATTGCCCCATATTGTCTTCTGATTTTTCAAATGATGAAATAGTCAAGCAGTGACAACACACACAAAAGAAAAAAATCCTTAGGATTTTCTTTTAAATGGAACAAAACTGTTGTAATTAACATTAAATTTCCAACAACAGTTTTATTTACAGTATCTACATTTGGAGCTGTAAAAACACTAAAAATTGTTAGTCTCACAGAACTTCAAAGCAACCTAAATCATAGCAATTCTAGGAACTATGATTTGTCAATATTTTTTCAGCAGCTATTTTGTGCATGTATTTGTTATATGTCTCTTTGCAATACACAGCAACAGCATCAATGCTTTTGTATCTTCTTAAAAATACTAGGTGAAACCACCTGCCTGTTCAGCTGCTTTAGCCTACATGAATCACTTTTTTCTGGCACGATAGTTCTGATCAAAACAGACACCACTTTGTATGTATTCATAATAATTGTAAATGTATCCTCAAAGAGGCTAAGTCTTTGCTGACAGAATGAGACACTGTATAGCCTCTTACAAGTTTGGTTCTTATGACTGTTAGCAGCTCTGTAATAGTATGTTAAATAAGAGTAAGCCCCTCCTCTTTTCACAATTGAAGGTTTTATCATCTGATGATAAAGCAGAATGTTTTGCTTGTAAATTATCTTCCAATTCTACTCTTAACTAATCTGGAGTATCTTTGAATGAGTTTCCACATACATCTGAATCTCTATTGAGTGATATGGATATAACTCTATGTCTATGGTTTCTGTTATTATCTCTAAATTGGACTTTATGGTATTCCTGCAATAGTCCTTATGAAATGTGCTCCTGTTTTCTCTCTACAATAAATGCCTTGCTGCTTTTGCTTTAATGCTTGTTGGAAATCATCTGTAGTTCCAGTCTTTAAGAACTCTGATGAACCATTTGATCCTTCTATCAGTCTATTAGCTGTCTACCTTTTTTTGGCAGCGTACTAGAGAGGTTCTAATCAACTCTGAATTGTTTAAGTATGCTGCCTCGCAAGGTATTCTTTCAGATAAGCAATATAGCTTTCACTTCACTAAGTCAACTGCTGATATATTAACCATTATTGCTGAAAGAGTCTATCAAGCTTTAGATAAGAATGGTGGAGCTCGGACTCTTGCTTTGGATATCTCAAAGGCATTTGATAGGGTTTGGCATGCTGGTTTTCTTCACAAGTTGAAATGTGATGGTATTTCTGGAAGAATTTTTGAATTGATTCATTCTTTCTTATCAAGTCATGAAATGAACATTCACTCATCTAGATCTTTTTGCATTAATGTAGGTGTCTCTCAGAGCTGTATCCTTGGCCCTGTGTTTTTCCTAACTTTCATCAATGATATTCCTGTTGTCATCATTTCTCAATTTAGTATCTATGCTGATGACACAACTATTAAGACTCCTGTCTTAATGGTAGGTCTGATTTGTTCTCTAAGGTCAAACTGGCAGCTATGACCTACAATCTGTTGTTAACTGAGGCAAGAAATGTCTTGTTAATTTTAAAGCCTCCAAAATGAAACTGCTCTCTTTTAATGATCTTAGAAAACCTTTTTTTTCCTTCCATTGCCATGGCTGGTGCTAACCTCAAGTGGAGTGACTCTTTACGCCATCACCAGCTGACATGAAAGGGAAAGATTATATTGAATCAATTACTAAGTCTGCTGTTAGGAAGGTTGGTTCACTGTGTTGTACTAGACAGTCTTTCTTGCCAGAACATATCTTACACATTTATAAGTCTACTTTTGTCCATGCTGATTCACAGATAACAGATTCTTGATAAAATACAAAGAATTGGTCCTGACCTGGTATCTTGACTCACATTACTTTCCCACTGCGATAACATAGCCTGCCTGTGCCTTTGCTATAAATGTTTTTATGGTAATTTTTCCTTTTTGGTACCTATACTTTATGAATTTAAGCATACTACTAGATTGGCAGCAAAGTCTCATCATTTTACAATTGAATTGGCTGGATGTAACTAAGTTCTATACTAACAGTTACTTCTCTCACACTTCTTATATGTAAAATTCACTTCTTGCTTTCATATTCGATCTTTAAAAATTTAAATGCAATGTTAATCATTATCTTCTTAATTCCTGTTCTTTTATTATTCTTTCTCCTTTGGGGTGAAATGATTTTAAAAGAATTTAATTTAGGAAGTGGTCATGTAACTATTGTCAGTGGTTACAATCTGTCTTTCTATAAACCCTGAAAAATAGTCTAACACACTTTTTATTATGCAGAGCATTCAAAATCTTTGTGAAAAAGGCATGTTTATGCCATTTTTTAAACAACCCTCTTGAGAGCAACTTGAAACCTGTAAAAAATTAAAATAAGAACTAACATCAAATTCATGGTAAAATTTGTTTACAACAAATTTCATGGAGCTAATTCCCTGAAATAAAAACTATCATCACTTTAAAATGGCCAATTTGTTTATAAGATAAGACAGAGTTGGAAGATAACAAACAGGTCAGCAGGCTATCAACATCAGTTTGCAAAGAAAAAATTGATGCTTTGGGGGTAACTGATAATTAAAAGCAGAAGTAACACTATAGACATGTCAGTTAGAGCAGCCCAAACAATTTTATCTAAAAAATACCAAAATATGTGTATCAAAACTGTTGTGCACAGATTAACAGCAGACAAAAGCAGAGCTTTCAATGGAAATTGTAAACAAATGGAATCAAAATCCTGAAGACTTTGTGAGGTAAATTGTAATGGGAGATGAAAGTCGGCTTTACCAGTACAATCTTGAAGACAGTTCAGTTAAAGTAATTGTTATTGAAAGGTGGAAAGGTTCCAGTCAAAGCAAAGGCAAGTTGAGATGGTTATGGCAACAGTTTTCTGGAATGCTGAGAGCATTTTGCTAGTTGACTTTTTAGACAGAAGAAAAGATTATAATATCTGCTTCTTGCAATGGTGTTTTGAATATACTCATTGTTCAAAAACCATATGCTTATTTCTTGACAATCAAGTTTTGTTTGTAAAGTTTTCTGGTCAAAAATTTGGGATCAGCAGTATTTAAATAAATACAACTTTGCCTCCATCCATCAGATAACATTTTGTGACAAGGTCAATGTTATCCAGGTTCTGTTTATCATGTCAACCCAATTAGGCAAAAGGATGAAGTAGGTGAAGTTTATGAATTGTTTATGTTTTAAGTTATTTAACAATTCAAATGTGGTCCTTAGCCTATTCTGGTCTGCATTTATTTATTAATTTTAAGCAAATGTACTTGTAATTTACTCTATTTTCACTTATTTTGTTTTTCTGTTGAAGTTGTAACTATGCATTTTTATTATACAGTTCATGATATTCTCAAGTCACTAGTGAGAATGGTATCTACTGAAAGGGACCGACTCAAACAGGCTCTTGAGCAAAATGTTATGGCCCAAAATAATAGCAACAATATCAATTCATTGAAAGAGTCTATGGCAGAGGTGAGTTGATCTGTATATTCTTTTTTGAAAATAAGCTTTCATATTATAAGTACCATATTATTTGAGATATTATGTACAGTTTAGATAGGTGTCAACTATTTTAAGTTTTTTTTTTTTTTTTAAAATAAAAAATGGAAAATCATAATTAAGAATAAATATAGACTTTCTTATTTTGTTTCTTGTTTTGTATGTTTCTCTGTTTAATTCATTAGTAAATTATTTTAATAATGCTAAGAAATGCAAAAATCTCTATAAAAATAAGGTATTATTTTCTGGAAAATTTCAGTATGAATGTAATGTATAAATTATTAAATGACCATTGAAATTATTTTGAGATCTTTTGCTCTTAGGTTAAGTGACTTCAATATTTGCTACTATTTTCTCTTTTCTTTTTATCAGATCATTTTAAGTTGGTTATTGTATTGGATTAACTTTTTGTGGAATTTAATTTCACATGTATTTTCTTTTATTAATAGGACACATTTTAAGAAAATTTATATTTTTCTACAGTTGTTTGTGCTTTCTACTATATTATAAAGTATCTTATTTTAATATTGTATTCCAGTATAATTGCATCATACTAAAAATTATCTTGCAGATTATTCTAAATTAAGCCATACTAAACATTCAAAAAAAGTAAAAAAAGAAGAAATATCAGTTGTTCTAAAGGTTTTTTATTGACTGAAATTCAACTGCTGATTACAAAGGAATTGTCTAAAAGTGCATATTTATGTAACACAATCAGAAACAGTGATTAATCGTAATTTCTTTATCCAAAATAATCCAAAGAACAATTTTTTACCGAATTTCTACTTTCATTAATTCTTTTGAATTGTAACCTAGTTAATAAAATTTGACCAAACTTATAATTACTTTATTTGTAGTATTACTAATTGGAGTAAAGTAGTTTTTGCTAAGTTTGCTTTTAGTTTACAAAGAGTAATTAAAACAGCTGCAATATTTTTCATTTGAAAAAGTAAAAATGGATGGTTCTTAAAATATTCTGGAAAATCATTTCAACATACTTTCATTTTAATGTCATGGAGATTTAGGTTTGTCAGCACATTTTTTAGAACATAATTTCCATGTCCCTTACAAAAAATTCACCAACAAATGTTAAAATGTCTATCATTGTAAAATATATTTTAGATTTTTTTAAATTATCAAATAATTAATGCTTAAGACTGATGATACTTAATATACTTTTATTTTCCATTAAGAATTGTTTTTTGTTGGATGACTAATGTTTTCACTAGGTTGATGGTTGTGTTATGTATAAAGAGAATGATAAAATGCTAATCTTAAAGCTGAGAAAAAGATTTTACATTGAATTACTATTCAGTTATTGGCATAGCGTATTGTAAATATTTTATTACTATTGTTACTTAATAGAATTATGAGAAAATGAAAATATTCTCACAAATAACTGTTTTAAGGTCAAGACTTAAATCTTGATTAAATATAGGGACCTCCACTAAATTTTTGATACCTAAGGTTTAAAATGAATTTTTAAAAATGAAAATGCATTCTTGAAGCTTTCTTTTTAGCTTTAATTGGAAGCTAAATGATTAAATTTACTATTTTCAGTAAGCAAAACACTCTGGTATATTTCAAATAAAAATTATATTGATTTGAATCTCAACTTTTCTGTTGCTTTCAGAAAATTGATAAATATTGGCTGTTTTGGTAGATTTGTAAACAAATGTTAATTCTTGGTTTTAAAAATTTTCCAAAAATAAAATATATACTTCTGACACATTATCTGAGGAAAATTAGTAATTTTAAAGTTAAATTAATCTGATTTGAAACAAGTATTACTTACTTATAGCATAAAATGTAGTATACAAGCATTTCTTAACCACACAGCCTTGTTTTTCTGGCATGTTAATCAATTGATTGGCAACTAAATTTATGAAATCTAAGTGAACACATTGTTTTTGGTTTTTAACTATCTAGTAATTTTTAAAATTAACATTAAAATTAACTAATAATTTATTGAATTTAGTTACTTATATATTTATTTATAGCCTTATGTTTTTATCAAAATAACTCTCACAAAAAAAGAAACTTAAAAAAAGTAAAAAACTCCTAACGAAGAAACATTTTTATGAAATAGGAGTTAAAGTAAAAATATTTTGAAAGCAAATTTCAAAGTGACATGCAAATTAAAAAAATAAGAACTTCAAATAGAAATTGAATAAGAAAAATTTAAGTTAAAGTAAAAATTATTTTTTAGTAGAATTATATTGGGTTTCATCTCCAGGTTACTTAACTGAAGTATGACCCACACTAAAATAAATACATAAAAGTATGAAAATATTTAGTGAAATAGGAATTTAAAAAAAAGTAAAAATTATTTTAAAGTTTAAAATTTTGAAGGGATAATTTGCAAAGCCTGTTGAGACATAAACACAATGAAACACAGAAATGAAAATGAAAGAATTGCAAATGTTCAGATTTTTAAGGACAAATTGTAAAACACATGACGGACATCCATACTTATGAAAAATGGAATATTTCTACACTAAAAAAAAAAAGATTTTTAATTATTTTTAAAATATTGGGGTAAACAACTTTTATTAAGCTTTTCACTTTTTGGTTTGTAAATGTAGTTTTCACTTAATAACAATATCACCTAACCAGATTGAAGTAATGCAGAATTTTGAACCATTTAAATTATTATAATTAAAATTTTTAAAAAAATGAAAACAATTCTTGTAAAAATTCATTATGCATTGAAAAAAATTTTTTTCTTAAGACAATATTGCCCTTAATAAATCTTATTTATAAAAGCAATTAAGTTTTTCTGATTGAATAATGTTATAGCTTTATTGTATTTTTTATTTTACAATTCAGAGCAGATTTTTGGTAACTGGAGGTCCTGTTTTACAAAAAAACTCGATGACTTAAATTCTACAAGGAGACCTGTTTTTAACTAATAATTTTGTACTTGCAATTTAATTTCTTTAACTTTCATGAAATTAAGTAGGTGGGGCTAACATATGTAAAAAAAAAAAATAAATAAATATTTTTTACCAAGATTTTATAAAAAAAATAAAAAAATAACTTCATTCATTTGTGAATAAGTCCTGAAAGCTTCATTAAAATATGACAATCATTTGATTTTTGCAAGAATTTCCAAATCAATGTGTTTTTCATCTGGGGTGGGAAGGTGCAAAAACACTAATCATAAATATTACGTCGACCATTGACAAAAAAAAAATATTTTTAACCAAAATTTTGAACATGCTAGAAAGGATAAAAAAAATTTAATAAAGTAATAAAAATACTTTGGTCTTTCCTCTTAATAATAACATTCTGATGTTAAAACTTTGTTTTTATTAAGTTTGTGGCCTTTTTTCATTATGCTATGCTGTTTTTTCAGCGAGCAAGTGGAGGTACCTAATTAATTGGTTCTGATGAAATAATTGTAATGAAAATCTTTGTTTCGAAGAATAGTTTCACATCTAACCCATATTTTCCTTTTACTAAGTTTAACTATAAACTTTTACTACTAACTCAAATACAATATTGAGAAACTGCTTGTAAGTTTCTTCACATATATATATTTTTTTTAAATAAGCTCCAAAAATAAGTTAATAATAATGCTGTGATGTGTAACTGAGTGGTATTTGAAATTGTATACATATTAAGCTTTTACTTTTTATATCTTATGTCAATATGTCTTACATGTGATTTTTGTAATAGGCTAGTTCTTATACATATTCACTTCACATCTATGAAATTCTGACATTGCTATAAGTATTCATAAAATATCTATTTTATAATGCCATCTTATATTAAGCATACATATATTCTTAACTCATTTTAGCTGGCAAAATAAACTCGTTTTTTGTTTTTTTTATAGTCACATTAACTATCATTAAACATTACAAAGATTTAGCAACTGTTTTATAGTATCCATTTCATTGTAATTTATGTAGTAATTGCCTGCACAAAAAATTTCTTTTTCTTAGTCAGCTATCTTAAAATTTTCTTCATACTACATTAATAGATCATTTTAAGAAGTAAAACAACTTTTTGTATCAACACCTGTTATATAAGTCAAGGAGTGCCACTTGCAACTATTAACTGACCAACAAACTGAAAAAAAACATTCCATCTATATCTGCTACTACCTTTCACAATTAAATATTACATGAAGAGCTTCTACTTTTGACACCTTTTCTGTTAAAATTTCATTTTACACTTTGATGATTTCTAGGTGAGTGGTACTTTATTTAGTACTCAAATAAATCATTAAACTTATAAACAATATGATATAGACAATGTTAATGATGTCAATTTTACTTAATAATTTGTGCTTGTAGCAAGCTTTTAAAAGATTTGCTTAGAGATTATTTACATTTTAAAGGTATTTGCTAACAAAAACTCAATACATATCACACAATATTGTTTAATTCCAAGTAAGCTGCTTTCATATTTTGTTTCATCACATTTTTCTTTTTTTCTCTCTTTTTACCCTGATTACATTCAGCAGCTTTTAAAGATAATACTTTATATTTATACGCTGTTTATTACATGTGGGTGTGTTGAAAAGTTCTCAAACTGACTCATCTCCTAAAATCACTACTTTAATGATCAAACATCACACTGAGATTTTTTTCAGCACCTCCTCATGCATTTATAAATTGATCTGTCAGGAAATAGTCTTATTTTTGAGAAGGTTTCTTTAGTTTAATTATTTCTAAGTTTTTATCTGTTTTGATAACTTAAAAATTTTTATGAAATTGTATAATTTAACATTTTTTAATATATTTCTATACTACTGCTTAATAATCAATATACAATTGAAGTGAACATAAAACTGTAAAATAATATCTAAAATTTTAAGCTAGAATGAATTCCTATTATCTTCATTTTTAATGGTATACTAGTAAACAATTTTATAGTATCAGCTTTTATTCTATTTACTATATAAATTTTGTTTTTCTTTGTAGTTACATGTAGTTACATTTTTATCTATTTAATATATAATGATTTACAAACGTTGCATAATAAATTTATTAACTAAAAACATAAACTTCTTTCAACAAGAAATAAGTATTAACTAAAATCATTATCTGTTAAAATACAAGATGTTTTAGTATAAAAATAACTTATTTTTCATTATGTAAAATTATTTTTGAATTTTCTTTTCTTTGTCCCTACCTCCATCTGGTTTCATAGACTACTACTGAAGATATTTCTGTGATGGTAAGAACTACATTATAACTGTTTATTTTCATTCATTTAAACTTCTTCCCTCTTTGTTCATATCAACTTGTATTTTCACAGCAGCATATCTCTCTTTTCACATAATCATAAATGTCCAAAATAAATTCATATATATCACCCATTAATTAGTTCTATTCAATTACACGGTACTTTTAAAAGCTGAATTCTTTTAAATGCTTAGGTTTATTACACATACAAAATTTAATTTTACTGTATTACTTGAATGTATAGGATTTATATGACTAATACAATCCCACACCTATATATATATATATATATATATATATATATATATATATATATATATATATATATAATATGTGTGTGTACATGTTGGAATTCCTTATTTAATCTTTATTCTTTATACTTCAGTTGGAAAACTAATTGATAAACAATTTACCTAAATAAACTGGAAATAACTTTTACTTATATATATGATGTTTAAATCTGTCCTTCTTTAGTGCTTTTGGTGGATTAAGCTTTATTATTGTTGTCAGCAGGTTCTCTATTGTTTCTTTCACGTATTAATATTAATACTGGCATAGTATTTAAAAAGTAGCTATAATGGCTATATTATTTATTAAAGTTTATTTGTTCCATTCCATTTTTTGTCTTATATAATTTGTATTTGTTTCAATTTTGCTGCACCAGAATATGGATATTAATTTTGAATCTGTTTACTTTTAAACTTCGGTGTAACGTTTCTCTGCTTTTTCAGTTTTTTTTGTTTTTTTTTAAGTAATGCTCTTCTGTTGAATTCATACTAAAATGTATGAAGTATATCTTTATATATCTTTTATTTGTAAAGTTGAAAAAAAATACATAATATTTATGAAGGCTTTTATATTTGAGGAAAATTTTTTGAAAGTTTTTTTAATTTTATTTACCATGAAAAACTTTACCAATGTAGATTGTTTTGCTTTTGAAAATAACCCAATATTATTTTTTTCTTACTATAAAAATTAATTGTACCATGCTTTCTTGAACCTATTGTTTGTTCTGCTTGTTTCAAAACAAATTATCTAGTATAGAATGGGTTCTTAAAAAATAGTTAAAAAAATCATAGTTTTAAAAACATACATGCAGATTTTCTGCTTTAATTTTTAAGAAATACTTTTAAAGATTATTCATGTCTCTGAATTTGTGAAGTGACTGACATCTTTAATATTAGCTAGAGTTTTGCCTTTCAGTTAATAGATGATACATTTCCCCATAAAACTTGTATTGAAGGTGGAATGTAGTAAGTAAATATTTCCAAAAGTAATCATTATATAATAAGCTGTGCTAGGGATAGTTTTGCCCAACACCACAAATTACTACAAAACCAAATCATTAACCTAAAAACTCAGGGCATATTCTTAAATAGCTTTGTCAGATTGAGACTTTCATATGAATGCCATGCATAGTGCCAAACTCATTCAGAAATATCTAAACTGTCAGTTTTCTCAGATCAGTGGTTAAAATGGCTTTGAGCAAATGAAGCCTGTAGGTCTTAGCAGGAACCATCCTTCTTCGAACTTTGTGGAGTGGCACTACAGAATCACAAAGTGCTGTACCAAATAACAGAAACAACAGCCACAACTAAAATGGATAGCACATGTAAATCATAGAGAAAATAATGACATAAGATGTTGACGTTCCACACTACTTCAAACTTCAAGGTTAGAAGGGAACCACTAACAATACTGGAAAGAGTAACAGCAGCTACTGAAACTTGCAAAAACTATTTTAAGTGAAAGATTTTATAAATTTCCGCTGGTAGTGGCAGTGGCTGCTGAATCAATGAATGTCAAATGTTTCCTCATAAAAAATGGCTAATATTATCATTAACCATTTTTAAATGTTTACTTACTTCATTCTAGTATTAATATATTTAAAATATGTTGCTCTCAAAATTAATCAGACCCATCCAAAAACTTAATTACAAAATTTTTATGTGTTTATTGCACTATTAGAGCAAAAAATTATGCTAAATTTAAGCTCACTCCATCCAATAGCTTTACTGTCTATGGTTCATCGATACAGTCTTCTATCTGATTTTATATTTTTATCATGAATTATATGATTGGCTTCATCTAATTTCTTTTAGCAGATAATAGATTCATGCTGTTCATATGTTTTTACAGTTAGAAGCTTTTTTTTGTTTTGTTTTTTTTTCATTACTCTAAAAAAAACATCTGAAATTTGAAAATTTATCTATTTCAAAGTAGAGAATTATAAAACAAATACTCAGGATTTCAAATAAGTCAAACTTCTATTATTAAGTAACTATTAATTTCATGAAAATTAAGTTAGTTCTCAAAATTCTAAAACAATTTGAGGAAATTACTGAACTATTTGTATCATTCACAGCTTATAGAATATGTCCATCCTCTTTATATAGCAAATAAGTAATATCTGAATGATCCTTCAAGCTTTTTTTTTTTTTTTTTAAACAAAGTAATAATTATCTCCATGACATAATCTTTTATAATAATTTTATAATACTTTTTAATTTTAATTAACCTCTCCATATCTAGTCAGTTGTCAACTAGTATTTTATATTAGTTATTTTATTTTTATTCTATTTCATGCAAGTTAGAGATCACAAAAATCATATTCAATAAAGGACAGTAAAAATGTTTTTTTTTGTTTTTTTTTTACACAAAACTTCTATTGTAATTCATTTCCTATGAGGAAAACTAAATATTAATCAAGAGTAGAATGAACCTTTTTTTTATTTTTTAATTATAAATTATTGTAGCAAAAATTATACAAATTCAAAATGTACTTTACATTTTAAGAGTAGGCAATTTGAGGCAATTTTCACAATACTGCATTGTATTTGTTAGAATTATTTTTGCATGTTTAAAACATGAATGATTTATCAGTAATAAATTTGTTTTGATTTGGTTAGTTACTGAGACAAAATGCTGACCTGCGCGCACGGCTGTCTCGTATTCATGCTGATTCCATGATCCCTGAGAATACCACTGGAGTGGTTCTGACCTCACCTCTACCGTCCCCAGGAGATAAAGTAAGTTATAACTTGTAATGATTTTCATAAAATATTATTTGTAAATATTCCATTTAGAAAGACTTTTTAAAAAAAGGAATTTTTTTTCATTAAAATTTCAATAAAATATACCATGGTGATTATAAGTTCACATAAGATATTAAAATTTTTTATACCTAATAGAAAATAAATAATATAATATAAAATCAAGTAACTGTTATAAAATTGCAAACAAGTGCAAAATATGAACATTTTGATTCACTAAGCTTTCATTCTTTTGAGTATTATACAATGTAAGGGGGTCCTGAAAAGTCTTTCAGTCTGATAAGAAGTATATTCAAGAAATTCTGAGGTTTTGAATATTTAGTTAAATTTTAGGAATCCACTCAATATATTTTATTGTGGCTTGGTAAAATTTTATAGAGGGAAAAGCAAAAGGTCAAAGTTCAAAATCTTTGCAAGAGATTTATTTTTAAAATGTTATTTATTTCATAACTAGAATAATTTCATATTTTTAATATAGCCATTAGCTGTACTGTTAAGAAAAGACTTTCTAAAATTTTACAGCAATAACTTAATCTAACTTGTTTCATTATTTTACATAATTTACAAACTGTAATAAGCACTTAGGCAAAAGAGGAATGGCTCAATGAAAAGTGCACATATAACAAGAATGTGTATTACAGATGCAGCAGATAGGACAAAATACATGCTCATCAACAGGATGCATAAAATCCAAGGACAAAGAAAGAAAAAAATACTTAAGAGATGGAATGAATACTATAGAGAACTCTTCCACACCAAAAGAGGACAACTTGCAATATACAGAAATGTTGATGAGCCAGAAATATTAAAATCCAAATTGAAGTTAGCACTAGCCAAATTGAACAAGAACAAAGTAGCAGGACCTGATTAAATTGTAATACAGATGATGGTAGCTTTAGATGATTTCAGCATTGATAAGTGTTGTGATGTAGAGGTTAGCACTAATCAGCCGCTAAGCTCATGTACTACCTTCGTTATTCTCAGTGACCACTTATATGAGTGTTCACTTTTGCTTATGCAAATTATGCATACTAATTTGCTAGTATCACTACATCTCCCTGAAACATAAGGGTTTTATTCCTCTCATAGATCTTGTACTCCTTCTCATGTTATTTTCATCACTTTGTTCTACTTCTCTCTCTTCCGTATTTCTTTCCCTGGGAGACCTAGATCTGTCCCGCACTAGGCTGTAGTCATATGTGTTTTCTTGCATTATCTGGTCTTCATCCGAACTTTCAGACTCATTCTGGCCCTCTTGATCCTGCATTATTTCGTCTTCTGAAGTTTCCTTCTGTAATGGTTGTTCTACCAACTTGTTATCAGACGGAATTGAAGACATTTCTTCATTGTTTTGCTCTTCCTCTTCACCCTGGATCCTTATTTGGTCTGCATGGGCTAATACACTGTTGCCGTTTTCTCTATTTATTATGGCTGTATTGTGGCCTTTTTGCATGATAAATTCTGCTCTTTCCAGATCTGCATCTTTGTTCTTTTTGTACCACATTTTTTCATTTGTAGAATATGACATCGTTAGCAGAGCTCTAATCTGTCTTCCCATTAAAGCTGATGGGCTTTCTAGTCTTCCCGCATGTGGTATCATACAATAACTTAAAAGCAGCCTTGGTAGAAAAACTACTTTTTCTTTTTGCTGCGAGCATGCTTTTAGTCCCTTTTTTACGGTCTGCACCATTCTTTCTGCTAGTCCATTCGATTGAGGGTGATATGGAGGTGTCTTATATGGTTTACACCCTATTTTTTCTAACCATACATTAAGTTCTTCATCACAAAATTCTAGTGCATTATCAGATACCAAGGTTTTTTGGTACGCCATTTCTGGAAAATATGACTCTTAGAATCTGTTTTATCGTAGAACTTTTCTTGTTTGTAACCCGGATTATTTCAGGCCAACCTGAAAAGGAGTCTACTAGTATTAATAAGAGTCCCACTCCATTAATGTATGCATGATCCATATGCACACGACTCCATGGCTCCACTTCTTTGGGCCACAAATGTAATTTGGTTTGTGTAAAGTTTCTTAATTCTTTACATTTTTTGCACCTTTTTACATATTCCTCGACATCTCTTGAATATCCCGGCCACCAAGCTTCTAATTTTATCCTTTTTTGTGTGGCTGCTACTCCACAGTTTATATCATCATGTACACTTTCTATTATCGGTTTTCTTTGTTTCTGGGGGAACTACCAGGTTCCCATTACAAATCACTCCATGTTCTATTGTTAATTTGTGTCTTATTTCTTTATAGAGTCTTTCCGCCCTAGAACAATTTCCCCATGAGTTTTTTTCTTATTCTCAATATTATCCTACTTAGCACTGGATCATGTCTCGTTTCCGCAGCCATTCTATCTAAAGACAAAACATCAGTCTCTATCAAATGTAGGAATGAATCTTCAAATTCATCCTCTGTTTTATCTTTTGACTCCTTGTAGAACCTCAATCTTGATAGTGCGTCCACATGTGGAATTGAATTTCCTTTGACATACTCTATATCAAAGTCAAATGCCATCAATCTTATCGCCCATCGTAGAATCCTTGATGTCATGACTTTGGGTAATTCTTGTTAGACATTTTCATGACGGTCGTCCTCGAGTATAGAATCTAGAGGTTGGCAGTGAATATTTCGGAGACAGTAGGAAAGCGTAGTGGAGGTTCGCAGTGGATATCACAGCAGAGTATAGTTCATCCTTCTCCTGGTCGCCTTTGGTCCTTCCGGTAGGAGGAAATAAGATGGCCGCCTTTATACACGACGAATACAGTGTTGGGCGGCTTCTGATTGGTCAACCTTCTATTGGTCGACTATAAAGGGAAATAAGTCATTCTGACTTGCTCACTAGTTATAGGTATATATACCCAAAAAACCGTAACAGCCCCCCTTATTTTGGGTATATTATGGAATCTTCGTTCAAAAAATATTAGTAAAGTTAATAAATACTTTAATTCCAAAAATAATATTTTTTTTTTTTTCTTTTTTTCTTTTTAAAGTTAATATTAATATGTAACAAATACTTTAGTATTCCAAATTTTGTTTTTATATTTTTTTATATTTTCTTGAAAATTAATATTCACAAAAATTAGTCATATCACTTTGTTCACAGTTAAATACTTCGGGTTAATAGAACATGAACAACAATATTATAAGTTTAGATTGCGATCACAGCAAAAAGTGGAAAGAATTGTTACTTTACCCATAGCTGGGACCCATTAAAACAGTTACTATCACTCCGGGTCAGAGTGATCCAGAAAAATCATTTATTATTTTATCCATAGCTGGGACCCATTAAAACAGTTACTATCACTCCGGGTCAGAGTGATCCAGGGAATCATTTAGAAGAGGATTGGGCTCAAGGTAGGACCATTTACCTTTATACCCCGAAACTAAGGACTTACGTTCATACCAAAAACTGAACTGACGCTTCTTAGGACAGTAACTAATGGATGCAGTTTTACGTCCTACCCAGGACCTAATAAGGACCTTACAGGGGACTTAACGGATGCAGTTTTACGTCCTACCCAGGACCTAAATAGGGGCCTTAATGGATGCAGTTTTACGTCTTGCCCAGGACCATTGAGGGCCTTAGTGGATGCAGTTTTACGTCTTGCCCAGGACCATTGAGGGCCTTAAGAAGTCAGCACCAAACATTGCAGAAGCACAAAGCCTGTAGTTTCCATTTCATAATCGGTTTTTACAAATAAATCCGCCATATTATTTCCCGATTAAACATATTCAATTTGTACTGTTTTCTTCTGTACTTGGTCCTTTAACAAACTGATATTTTATATTGATATGCTTTGATCTTTAATGTTGAATTTCTAGACAAAGCAATACTGCTCTGATCGCCGAGTAAATAATAATTGGCTCAGTTATTGCCAGTATTATAATTGTTTTTCATTAGCAATTTAAGAAAAATAACCTCTTGTGTTCTAGCTTCACAAGTAAAAAGTGAAATCTTTCGCTTGTTCTTAATTCCTGCTGATTATTGGGTTACCATCCGCTAGCTTAAAGCAATAGCCTGTTATATTCTTATGGTCTGGTGAATTGGCCCAATCAGCATCACAAAATTCTTCCAATTTTTAATAGTTTATTGGATTGTGGAAAATACTAGGCATCGACTATTAGTCCATTTCAGATAACGTAATACTTGTTTCAAAAAATTGTTAAAATGTACAGTCCACGGTTTATTTAAGTTTTGGGATAACTTAGTAACCGTATAGCAGATTATTTTGCCTAGTTCATATCATCATGCAAATAATACTTCCGACCAATGTTCTGTATTCATTTTCACACTCCACTATACCATCTTCTTTTATTCCTAATTGTGTTTCAATCCATTTCACATGGAGTAGTTCTTGTTTTGCCATTTTGCATGTTAAATTTCGATAAAAGCCTTTCCATGTATCTCGATTAATTCATTGAAATCGTGTTGCCTTTAAATTTTTACTGTATACCAAGAAAAACATGATAGTTCGACCCAAATTGGTCATTTTAAAACTCATTTCTAGAGAACTCTTGATTTTTAATAGCACGGCCTCACTCTTTGATACAATTAACATATTTTCGACCCAAATAACTAGAATTACTGATATTTTATTATTAAATGTCTGTGTACAGACATGGGTCAACTTGAGGAGATTGAAATTATTATCTCGTTAAATAACAATCGATTTAAATTATTCCATGTTTTTTTTGTTTTGTTTTTTTTTCACTCATTTTGAGTCCAAATAGTGACTTTTTTAAGTTTTTTTTCTCTTAAAGTTTCCATACATAATCATCACTTTTTGCTTCTTTTTTTTTTTTTAAACCTTCTGATGGTTCCATATACATTTCATAGTCAATGGTGCCTTCTGAAATAAGCCTTTTTTTAACATCCATATGATGTAGATCTTTACCACAATGGGCATCCATTTGCATCAAAACCCTAATTAAGACTTAATGTCTCTACATAAGTCATCCGCCCCAT